TGCTGGTCACAGCTTACAGCGAAATAATAACAGTACTGGCGGAATGCGTGGAGAATTCATCCAGTGAAGAAAGTGAAACTTCTGACTCTAGCAACTTCTTCACGCACCGCCAAAACTTCAAAATTCAAAATGCGCAGGTACCTCTTATGAATTATGACAGGAGTCCATGACCAGGAGCCTTCATCTCCCATACTAACCCTTGGAGACAACCCTTTCCCGTATTAATTTATCTTTAGAACACCGCAGGGCTCTTGTGTTCCTGCAAATTCTTTAGAATGCCCAATCAGAGAGAAGCTATTGTATACATCACACGGCCGTCGCACGCTGCTGGTCACAGCTTACAGCGAAATAATAACAGTACTGGCGGAATGCGTGGAGAATTCATCCAGTGAAGAAAGTGAAACTTCTGACTCTAGCAACTTCTTCACGCACCGCCAAAACTTCAAAATTCAAAATGCGCAGGTACCTCTTATGAATTATGACAGGAGTCCATGACCAGGAGCCTTCATCTCCCATACTAACCCTTGGAGACAACCCTTTCCCGTATTAATTTATCTTTAGAACACCGCAGGGCTCTTGTGTTCCTGCAAATTCTTTAGAATGCCCAATCAGAGAGAAGCTATTGTATACATCACACGGCCGTCGCACGCTGCTGGTCACAGCTTACAGCGAAATAATAACAGTACTGGCGGAATGCGTGGAGAATTCATCCAGTGAAGAAAGTGAAACTTCTGACTCTAGCAACTTCTTCACGCACCGCCAAAACTTCAAAATTCAAAATGCGCAGGTACCTCTTATGAATTATGACAGGAGTCCATGACCAGGAGCCTTCATCTCCCATACTAACCCTTGGAGACAACCCTTTCCCGTATTAATTTATCTTTAGAACACCGCAGGGCTCTTGTGTTCCTGCAAATTCTTTAGAATGCCCAATCAGAGAGAAGCTATTGTATACATCACACGGCTGTTGCACGCTGCTGGTCACAGCTTACAGCGAAATAATAACAGTACTGGTGGAATGCGTGGAGAATTCATCCAGTGAAGAAAGTGAAACTTCTGACTCTAACGACGTCTCTTCGGCGGATTTCAGTTTATCTTCCAAAAGTAGTAGTGAAGAAGAAACGGCATCGAATACAGCTAAAGGAAAAGCGCCAGCAAGAACCACGAAAACAGCTTCTGGTAATGCGTCCAAAGCTAAGACCACGCGGCTGAGAAAGAAGACAAAAACAGATAAATGCCAATGAGATTGAAGACCTTACAACCTGGATATTCTCATCAGAAGAAGTCGAGAAAGTGGAACAGCAGCTACAGTCGACTTAAGTGAACGATCCACGTCTGAACAAAGGCGATTGTAAACGTTTTGTGGAGCATTTATTATGCGATACCGAAATTCAAAATTTCTTGTTGCAGACAAATGGCTTTTGTCAGAAGTTTTCTAACTTGGCAATGGAAGCGTTCAGTGGTAATACTTCAACCTACAGGAAAGCGGCTTTTTTGATTGCGTGGATAAAGTTTCTGTCTAACTTCCATCCTGGAAAGACAACGCAGGAGCAGATGATCGTGGAGAGGATACTAAAGACTTCGAACCAACAGTTCGATTCAAATTCTGTTCATGCCGTTTTAAGTGTGATACACGAAAGTGTGTATTTAACGATCCATGATCATGTACAAATAAAGAAAGCCGAAATTGAGAATGGAGGAACTGGTCAGGCAAGAACAGTGTTAAGGGAAGAATTGGACAACATAATGTATGGATTCTGTGGAGCTTCGCTTCACCACATGATTAAACTTCGGGAAGAAATGCTGGAAGGAAAGAAAGGGCGCGGAGAATTGTCCGATCAAAGAAAGCCGATCATGACAAAAGAATAGCAAATTCTCTGTGAACTTTTACTGAAAGATAAAACAAACATTGCAGCCAGCCTCAAAACCCGCGATGAAGGGAATTTGAAGTTTCCCAAAACTGAACTTCTCCCCTTTTTAAGGTCTGTGGACAACAAAGTTCGCGAGTTTGCAACAGATTCTAATCTACGAAAGTACCCATCAAAGTTTTTGACCATGTGTCAAAATGCTGTGCTAAACAGTGAAACACTGGAAATGGACTTCTGTATTATCATGGCTTCAATTGTAGAGGCAGAAGTTGCAATTGACGTACAAATAGTTAATGATCTTTTCCAGGCATTAGTGTGAAAACTAGCTAACACCAGAATCAATGAATTTATGAATGCCAGAATGGAGAGAGAACTTAAAAACCAGGGAAAAGTTGTGGATGCCGTTGAGATGCTCAGACCACGTTTGAAAGCTTACGCCTTCGCAACAAAATGCAAGTGACTTTTTTATTTGCATAGTGAACATAACATTTTAGCCAGAAAATTAAGACAGATAGTTTTTACTTCAGTTTTATTGCTTGCCGATTATTTGGTGTTGATTGAACTGAAATCAGGATCCCATAAGGGTTCCTGACTGAAATGGTTGTCACAAAATTATTATTTTTGTAACATTTCTGTTTCTGCTATGTGGTCGATTCGAGGTGTACTGAAGCTAAGTGGGGTGGTTAGAAAGCAAGGCAAAACGACTGCATGGAAATATGAGCTGAGAAGCTAAAGGTGCCTGAGATTAAACAAAGGTTTGTCTTAGAGCTTAAGAACAGATTTAGCTACTTGACAGAAATGGAGTCAGATGAAACAGGAAACGATGACACCCAGAGGAAGAGATCAGACATAGATGGCAAGAACATTTCGACAATGTCCAGAACCGGCCTGATCCAGTAGCCCCCGTAGTTGTCGACGATAGGCAGCCAAACAAAATAGATGTCAGCGATGAATGCATCACCCGACAGGAAATAAAGCAGGCTCTGAAGAACATGAAGAATGGCAAAGCAGCTGGAATGGATTCAATCACAACAGAGCTACTGAAGGCTGACATAGAGACAACTGCATGCCTGCTAGAAGACCTATTTCGCACGGTGTGGGAGACAGAGGAAACCCCAGAGAACTGGAATTGTGGTCTGATCGTTAAGCTTCCCAAAATAGGGAACCTTACTGAATGTGGCAACTGGCGTGGGATAACGTTATCTGTACCAGCGAAAGTTATGGGAAGAGTAATTATTACTAGACTGCATGATGCAGTGGATGGGATGCTAAGGGAAGAACAGAGAGGTTTCAGAACTGGGCAAAGCACGACTGAACACAACTTTGTGCTGGGAAATGTCATCGAACAATCGCTGGAATGGAATGCAAGTCTGTATACCTGTTTTGTAGATTACGATGGATGATGAGACAGCTTGAAGACCTAGACTATGCCGATGACATTGTGCTCATTTCCAGCACATGGACGCAAGCACAAACGAAGTTAGAAAGACTGGGGAACAACAGTTAAGGTACAGGTTTGAAGATAAACATCAACAAAATGAAGGTGCTCAGACTCAATGCTAGGAGACAAGATCCTATAAAGATAAACGGCACTAATGTAGAGGGTACAGACAGCTTTGTCTATCTAGGGGCCACTGTTAACAACTTGGGTGGTGCCGAACAGGACATTCACAGTAGGTTAGGTAAAGCTAGAAGTGTTTTTCATCAAGTTTCAAAGGTGTGGAGAACAGGTGAATTCCGCCGAGAAACTAAGATGAGGATCTTCAAGTCAAACATCATTGTTGTCCTGTTGTATTGATGTGAGACTTGGAGAATGACGAAAGCGGATGAAAACAGGCTTGACACCTTTCTTCACAAATGCCTAAGGAGAATCTTGAAAGTCCAATGGCCCATGCGTGTGCCCAATGATGAAATTTGGAGAAGAGCAGGAATCGAAAAGATCAGTACACAAGTACGACGCAGGCGATGGAAGTGGATAGGTCATATTTTTCGTATGGCACCAAACCAAAACCCACACGTGGCATTATCCTGGGCACCAAGTGGAAAAAGAAGTAGAGGACGGCCAAGGGAAACATGGCGGAGAACTGTGCAGAAGGAATGCGCTGAGCTGGGACTTACATTGTGGGCCACAGCAGCAGCTGTGGCCAAGAATAGGGACAGATGGCGAGCATTGATCTCCGGCCCTATCCCCCACTCAGGGGCAAGGAACTAAGCAACATTTCTGTTTGGCTACATGTAGATTACCTATTCTTCTCTGTGTTTCGTTATTGTGGCAACAGAAGAAACAATGAGCACAGACTGGTGCAACTTTTATTTTAAGGATACCAATAGTCACTTTTTTGTGATGACATGATACTAGAGAGTTAAGTTATTTTCAAGCCCGGGGGGGGGGACTCCTATATGAAAGGGGTGGGGATGCTTGTCGAAAATTTTGAAAAGAACCCCTAAAAGAGAGCAATTTGGGTGTGGCTCTAGCTTTTCTTGACCCCTAAAAGATACCAAAAAGCTAAGAATAGAATTATATTTCTTCATGTGCAGCCCTAAACGAGACCATTATGGCTAAAAATATTGACGTTTTGCCTGTAATACCCTAAGCAAGACCAAAAATCTGAAATTTACACCCCCTAAGTGAGACGAGCATCCACGCTCCTTTCATATGCTATCCCCACCCTGGGTTCTTAAGCCTTGAATAATGAGTAACACTAGATGTAAATTATAAAAGTAAAGCCTGAATCTTTTGCCTAATTTATCTTATTTGCTAGTAATGATTATACTGTACCCATGTGAAAGTGGAAAGATTAAGAGTTAAATTCTGCCCAAGTAGCATTCTTGAGTAAGCACCAATTAGTCTGCTTGGAGTATCTGCCATCATTGATGGCACCATTGTTATTGTGTACGTGACTATTGATTAATGCACGCAGACCATTAGTTTGTATGAAAATACCTACTGACTTTTCACAGCCAATAAGAACCCCATAGGATGGCTGTTGAACATTGCCCACATGAGCAGCTAGATCAGCAAAATCATTTGCATTTGAAAAGCCAGCAGTTGCACTTATACTTTGTATATTACAATCTGTACCTTGAGACTGTGTGACATCTTCTACATCTAGGTAGATGGCAGTATCCCCATACAACTCATCATACATATCATTGCCGTCACATATTGCATTTACAAATAAAGAAGTCCGTGACTGTGGCAACTGTGTCCATAGCAATGAAACTTCTAAATGTAACAGCAATAATAGTGCAGGCATTGCTGCCTTGCCTTCCTCCTCTTGAGGACTGTGCGATATAAAGAGAACAAATAAATTTGCACAGATCCCTGGAGACAATGCTACATGGTATGGAAATTTGATCTTGAGTTGAAATTAACCCTCCATCTAAGTTAAGACTTTGGTCTCTGTAACCCTTCTCAGAATTATTGTTTTGAGCTAAACTCTTCCTGCTAATGAGTCTTCCCAATGCAGGAGAGTAAGCAATGGGAGACAAATTCCCCCCACTTGTGTGCTTTAGAACACTAAAAATTGATTCCAAAGCACTGCCATTGATTCGCAATGGAGTGATGAAATATCTTCCATCTGGTGACACACTGGTAAAGAACCATTCACAGAATGAAAGAAAATCATGCACAACAACTCGAAGAAGATCCCATGTCTATGAAAAAAATAGTGACAGTTCAGTATAGAATAAGATTCAGAGAAATGGCCCAATACATCTTCACTGACATTACGTAATTGTAATCAAGATTCAGGATCATATGTCAATGTAATCCATAGCAATATCAATGATTTGTCCATGATTGCATGCAAGTGACAGTTACTGTTTCACTGCCTGTTTAGGGTTGTTGTTATCAGGGCTGAGGTAAGAACTCATCAATTTTCAAGTTAACAAGTGATAGCTAGACTGTTAAGGAGACAGGGATTATTCCAGGTTATTAATGAAAACTTTGTGCACTAGCTACTTCTATTGAGAAATAAAACATTGCCAATTGACCCAAAATCATTTTTTTTATTATTTTAAACATTAGTAACTAACCTGCCATGCAAGAAACGTTTCCTGCCTAGACTTCTTGGTATTGTCAGGGTATTCTGAGGACAAATAATTATTTTTAATTTGATGACAAAACATTGTAACACTCACTAATATTGTGTAATAGAATATACACTGCAGGGCAATTAAATCAATAAACCAATCATACTTAAGGGTCAAAGACTCCCCCTCCCACTGCTTGAAGTAACACAAAGATCCTTATGAAGATTGCATATTACACTTCATTTCAAAATGCTATTATCCAATGCAAATTGGTAAAAAGGAATTAATGACTTCATAAAAAAAAAGCAAAAAGTAAATTTGTTGTCCTCTATGTTGTTTACGTACTGAACAAGAACAAAATATTACCATAATCCCTTAAAACAGAAATATGGGATTGACATTTTGTTCTTTAGTACTTCATTTTACACTGACAGAATCCCAAGAGAAAATAAAATATCATCAGATGTCTCATTCCAAACCAACCACAGTATGTAAGATATGATTACTGGTATTAAACATACCTCATCATGACTATGGCTCCATTTCTCAAAGAAATCCATTCCTTTCTTGATATTTTGAATGACAGAGCTCTCCATGCTTTTTATTCTCCGTTTACCAAGCAGTCCCTTTTCAAAAATGAGATTGCAAGCTTCTAGGAAACTGACAACATGCTTGGCACTCCCCTGATTCGGGTCTTTGCTCAGCTAATCGATTGCAGAAATCATGTAACGTTGCTGTAATAAAAATAATAACAAACAGACCAAATATTTAGCAATTTGAACTTAGCAAATGCAACTCTCAGAACTTTCTCGTATCATGATAAAACAGCCACTACTAAAAAAGGAAACATGATTAGTTGATCCAAAAATATCTGCTGCAGACTTTTGGAACAATGAAATTATTTTCTAATGTAAAACATTTTGGGTTAAATAAGTTTGTTACCTGCATGATCTTGGCTGGTCTAACATTGAGATGCATCCACTTGTCTCGGTACACAAATGCATATTTTAGACCAGGGACTTTGCGGCTTTGACCCCTTTCGGCTCTTTCCATCTCTTGGCTGTAGATCTTTTCAATTGTCTGCCATCCAAAAAGGGTTCCATCCAGTGTGAGCCTCTTTGAGCCACTTGTTCTTGAGCTGTGTAAGGCAGCTATCATGTTCTTTAGCTTAAAATAAAAAGAAAATTATAATAAGATACTTTCGAATATCAACAGTATCATGATATCATGACAATAAAAGTGTACTGCTTTAAGAGGTGGATCACTAACAGCAAGTCTGGAAGTTACAAACAAATAAACAAAATAAGGAGATATGTACAAATGCCTGAACTTTCAGGCCCAGTTATTCAGATTCGAAATTGATAAAAGTCATTGATGAGCACTGAAGGTGTTGTAATAGAGACAAATATAATTATTATCACTTGATTGTATTTATCAAATGAATCATCAAAATTAGTCTTAAAACTACCGGTAAATGGCCAGGGGAACAATGTTAATCCTTGACAGAAGTCACTGCATGAAAACATCTAAGCTTTATACTTATAGGGGTACATTTAGGCCAAAAAAGTAAAAAAAATAACACTAACATTCTGGAGTGAAATACAGTTCATTAAAAAATATTGTATTATCCAATTTAACTTTACAGGAGCATATGCATGTTAAAAAGTTTATGACATTCTTAATAATTACCTGATGATTTTGACATATCATTGCTAATATCAGATTGCCAATCGGATCCTCAGGATTGGTGAAAGACATGTTTACTTAGTACTTTTCACTCAATTCTTCCACATCTTCAGCGACAGGCAGAATTGCCCTGGGTAATCCACACAACATTTTAAGAAGGGTCAGATTTGAAGAAGCACCATCACACAGGACTATGGAGACCCTAGAACCATAGGCACTGAATGCTTTTAAACACTTCTGAAAGAATTCCTGCAATGTGTTCGAATCCATTGAATTTGGAAGTGGAAAATAGGGCCAATCATGTTGTAGCCTGAAGTAAGGTCCCTCCAAAGAAATTGTACAATGTAGCTGGTCTTCTGGCAACCACTCTGGATGGCTGATGAGTAAACAGCAGGCAACTCATCTTCTGCCATGGTCAAGCCCGTTATTCCCCCACCCTTAAGGTTCCGTGCTACCTTCATTTGAACCTTGAGAGCAAAATATGCCCAAAAAAGATCTATTAATATATAACATTATAGTTGTGATTACAATAGCTTTTTTCTGAGTTACCTTTTGCCTATGTTTTACAATGTGAAAGCATTTAAATAAAAATTGAATTTGATTTGCATAAAAATAAATATGAGAAAAACTTATTTTCATTTCAGGGTTTCACATGAAGAGTTTGTTGGTTTTGAAACAGAAGTAGGAGGTCATTTGAAAATGGCCCACTTCAGGCTGTAGTGTACTCTAGTAAATAAGAGCGACGTGACCCAGCCCGAACACATAAGAATATTTGCACAGCATTTGACTTTTCAGAGTTCATATTTGAAGCATCATAATTTATTAGGATTAATGATATTGTGTCCTACCTTCACCTCATCCCACATCAACACTCCAATACCAAGAGGCTGGGGATGGCCACAACTTTCTCTTTGTCTTTGATAGGTCTGGAACTTCTCCTGCTGACGATGTAGTCACTTGAGATGTAGATTG